TGTAACTTCATTGTGTGTTATAGTCCTTTTCAACCCCCAAAAAGCCCTATTGCTGTAAAAAATTATGGTTTAAAACGTTCTTGTATTTTTTGTGATTTTCTCAATAAATTATAAAAGTTACTCTCTCTGCTTATTCAATCCATGTGATATGCTAAGGGTTGTTGACACGCTATCGGGAGAAAGTATGTGTCTAATTTCTAATAAAGTTTATTTTTCTCTTGTGGTTAAAATCTATACGTTTTAACTTACTTGACTATTTTACTATAGGCCTACCCTTATACTTGTTTACTAACTAACGTAAAGTAATTTTACTGTAAATGCAAAAAGATCATTCTAATAATAAATTATTCTTACATTAAATAAAATACAGTGATACTAAAGGCCTTTTAGCTGTATCATAAGTTTAAGTTATCCACTTTTTTCAACTGCTCCTGTTGACTTGTCTTTTACATTTCTATGAAAATAATTGTTGGTGCAGTATCAAATGTAAACTATATGAGATGTTTAGGATAATTAACTATGGTTTCAACAAAATATAAATTGGTTTACTGGAAGCAAACTGTCCAGCTATTTTAAGAAAATTCAACTCATTTGAAGTAAAATTAAACTAAGATATAATTTGCTACTAGAGTCCGACTTAATAATTAAGTTACTCAAGCAGTTGCATCCTATACTTAACACGACTGAAAAATCCACCACCCTCTTAACCCCTTTTATTATACAATGACATGTTTTAGAGAATTAAAGGATTCCCAATTCCGTCAATTTTATCGAGAGTTTACTTTATCAAAAAGTGCACGACATTTGATTACTGAATGCAATTTTTTTCTTTTAATTGGTACTTTTAAAAGCAAAATTGTTCATTTAAATTGGGTTAAAGTTTGATTCAAAAGCGTAAATTCCCATAAATTTGCAGCATAATTTCAAGAAGTGTCGGGGACCCCCCCGCATTTTTAACTGTAGGTTAGCCCCCAGACCTGGGTTAAAGAAGGAATTTGGGGGGAATTCTGCAACATAAGCTTTGGGAGGGGGGGATGGGCACCCCTGGTTGCGCCAAGCCTAAGCCAGGTAGGGGTGAGTTGCCGGCAGTTGGACTGTCCTTGTTTACGTGTCATCATAACTTATCCTAACCTAACATAACCTAACACAACCTAACCTCCTCAATTATACAGTCAACGAGGGCCGCCACTTAGCGCAGTTTATGAACGTATTGGGTGGATCCCTGGAGTAGCTGGCGCAATTCAGGCATAGCGGACTACCTGACTCAGGTCAGTCAGTGGGCGCAATTAATTAAAGAAAATAGAAATCGGACCATTAATAACAAAATGTCAGTTCAAAATTACTTTTAATTACCATTGTCTTAATCATTTGTAGCTGCCATTTTGTTATTAATGGTCCGATTTCTATTTTCTTTATGTTAATAGTTATGTTTTATCAAGACCTGAAATATGATACCAAACTCGACTATACTTGTCATTAGAACATTTTGAGCTACCCCTACCCCCATTACCCAAGGGCAAAATTTTCAAAATTAACCATAATTATTGTAGCCCCACATACCTTAGATGGTTGCCACAAACTGATTTCAAATATCTCAATTGGTTGAAAAGTTATGGGGGGGGGGGGTGTAAGTTACTTTTCAGCCACCCTTTATACTTATTCTCAACTCACCCAGCACACATTAACGATGATACACTTAAATACACAATTAAATATGGGTACTTACGTATTATACGGAGGCCACTTATTTTACAGCGCGCTGTGGCGGTTGGGTTAAGTTGGGTTATCATAGATATGTTTGTAGAACTTTCCTAGTTTCGTTATGAATCGAACTATACGAGATGAGTCATAAAAACTTATGATAACCCAACCTAACCTAACCGCCGCAGCGCGCTGGAAAATAAGTGGCCTCCGTATAATACGTAAGTACCTAAATGTGTATACATATTTTTTGGACGGCATTATAAGTTTGTAATTTTTAGTGTGTTCCTTTCATGTCGTTAGTATAGGCAACTGTTCAAAACCAGATTATAAAAATACTGTTTTGTTAATTTAACGGAGCGAATTTATCAAAGCTACTACCCTACACTCCTGCTTTTGTTTTACAAATACTCCTCCTGAACGGCTGAAGCGACCTGCACGAAATTTAGCACAGTCATAGTAGCCAACCGTGGAAAGTATGGATCTGAAATGAAACAAATCGAACAGCTGGGCTTTTCCCTACGTAAATTTAAACTTTTAGAAATTTAACATGGGCCTTATGGGTTAATGGTTGTTATGACATTATTTGCGAGATAACAATAAAAAGGTAAACAAGAGTCGCGAGTGTAGGAGTTTTGCCAACGGGTATCAGGTAGAAAGGGTCCCCATCCATGAATTCCACATACTGCGGAGTTTTGCCAACGGTTGTGGGTTGCGCGAGAGGGGGAGGAGGAGAGAGAGAGAGATTACACGTGACCGTGAGGGTGGCTTCCGCTAGGGGTGGACAAACCAGGCAGGATGCTGACTGTGTTCAAAGTAATGGAGTTATGCACTTCTGACTGTGAAAGGATATGTATTGAATTTTTAACCTAACCTAACCTAACCTAACCTAACCTAACCTAACCTAACCCACTGCGACAAGCGCATAACTGCCAAGCATAGACAACCCTGACAATCGCTCTCCTTCCCTCCGTCACACTCTTTCTCCCACCACCACCGTTGGCAAATCTCCGCACCAAGAGGTGGCCGAAGGCATCCCCCCCATCTACCTGACATCCGTTGGCAAAACTCCGGTTCCCAAGAGTCGCAACATATGCTAGTCAACGAATCATCTAAAATAGCGCGTTACAAATACAGTACAGAGAAAAGGGAAGAACAATCGGATTAATATCGTTGAGCATAAATTATTAAAAAAATGAATGAATATCTAATAATTAGGGTCGCCGGAATTTGGCTGATGCGCTATTGACTTTAGATACTCCAAATACCCATTTCATTTTTGTGAACCAAATCTAGGCCTACAATTGAGTTTGGATATTGCATGTAGACTTTCCATTTATGTGAAGTAGACGTACCATTAATGCATACTTTGAATATAGGTACTGCAAATAGGAATTCCATCAATGTGAACCAAAGATACCATTGAGTTTTGATACTACAAGTATATATTCCATTGACGTGAACCAGACGGACCAATGACTTTGGATACTGAAAATAGCCACACCATTTATGTGAATCAAACCATTAACTTAGGATACTACAAGTAGACAGTTAATTTACATGAACCATATGTACCATTGAGTTTGGATACTACAAGTAAAAAATTCGTTTACGTGAACCCGACGTATCATTAACTTTGGATACTGCAAATAGACATTCCATTTAAGTGAACCAGAAGTAAGCCTACCATTGACTTTGGATACTGGAAACAGGCATCTCATTTATGAGAACCAAATGGACCATTAACTTTGGATACTGCAATTAGATTTCCTATTTATGTGAATCAGGTGTAAAAGTGATTTGGGATAGTGCAAGTAGACAATTCATTTACGTGAACCAAAGATACCATTGAGTTTGGACACTGCAAGTATAAATTCCATTGACGTGAACCAGACGGCCCATAACCTTTGGATACTGCAAATAGGCACTTCATTTACGCGAATCAAATGAACCTTACGCATCATTCATTGGCTTTGAATACTGCAAATAGACATTCCATTTTAGTGAACCTGATGTAAGCCTACCATTGACTTTTGCTATTGCAAATAGGTATCTTTTTATGTGAACCAAATGGACTATTAGTAATGGACTATGGAGTAAACAATTAGTTTACTTGAACAAGACCATTGACTTTAGAACCTGTAAATAGACATTCCGTTTAAGTGAACAAATCGTAACATTGACTTTGGATGCTGCAAATAGTAAATTAATTTATGAGACCCAGATGAAACATTGACTTTGGTTCCATCACGTGAACCAGACTTATAATTAACTTTGGATACTGAAAATAGACATTCCATTTATGTGAACCAAATATACCATTGATACTGCAAGTATTTATCAAATTTACGAGAAACAGATGTACCTAGCAACGCCTTTAGAAAATAATTGGATTAATATGCTAGCTCCACTCAATATTGCAAACAGACAACTGCATTGTACACCTAGTTAATCCATTATGACTGTAGATTTTTTGTATTAACTGCAAATAGAAAAATATTTCGACATTTAGCCTCAGCACGATGACAAATTTCAAATAAATGTAACAATTAACAATTGTTACTGCAAAATGAATTAGCGGAGAAAACCTAATTACAAAAGCTTTTTCTAAGATGAATGTTTCAACGATCAGGCCTAGTTCCGGTTCAGAGCTATGGGAATGAATAAAGATTAAGTACCCTCGGATGCTAGCCTAATAAAGGGAATGGGGTTACCACGTCAGAACATAAATGAGTTGGAAGTAATTCGAAAAGATTAATGCGCATGTTCAAATCCTCTCTGTTACTTAGTTTTATGAAATTGTCTTGGAGCGAGGACAAAGGTCGAATCCAGGGCGACGCTGAGCTATTACAATGGAAAGGTCGATAAAGGGTATGCCGTATTACTATGTTAGTACTTATAGCATTGTAAAGGGAAGACTTTGTATTTAAGTAAAAGATTTGATCGTTTCCATACTGAACTAAATAAAGATAGCTTGATTAGCATTTTATTACGTGAATAAAGTAAAATAAGCCTTCCAAAGCGTTTGGTTATATACACTACTCCTGTACATTTTCGCAAGGCAGAGATATAAACTGCATACACAGGAGATGTGTATGAAAGTAGAACAAAAATTAATTACGACCAGTCACACCAGTCAATATTAGGCCCAATTGGCTATACTTGAAATTCTAACATATTTTGTACACATTCACCATTTTTAAGATTTTTACACTAGTTAGTGTTAAAAGTAATGTTAATTTAATAGTGCCAACACATACAATGCAAATCAGAGAAGGCTTTTGTACGCGAAGTGAAGTTTAATACGGACTTAATATACACGAGAATGTGGTGGTGCACGACATGATGTACAATGTTGAGAGTGTGACTGTGGTGGTGCATGACTTGATGAAGAATGTAAAGAATGTGATTGTGGTGGTGCGTGACGCGATGTAGAATGTTAAGAGTGTGACTGTGGTGGTGCATGACTTGATGAAGAATGTAAAGAATGTGATTGTGGTGGTGCGTGACGCGATGTAGAGTGTTAGGAGTGTGACTGTGGTAGTGCGCGACGCGATGTAGAACGATAGGAATGTGACTGTGGTGGTGCGCGACGCGATGTAGAAAGATAGGAATGTGACTGTGGTGGTGTGCGACGCGATGTAGAATGTTGAGAGTGGGACTGTGGTGGTGCGCGTCGCGATGTAAAAAGTTGAGAGTGTGACTGTGGTGGTGCGCGACGCGATGTAAAAAGTTGAGAGTGTGACTGTGGTGGTGCAGGACGCGATGTTGAAAGTTGAGAGTGGGACTGTGATGGTGCGCGTCGCGATGTAGAAAGTTGAGAGTGTTATTGTGGTGGTGGAGGACGCGATGTTGAACGTTGAGAGTGTTATTGTGGTGGTGCAGGACGCGATGTAGAAAGTTGAGATTGTTATTGTGGTTGTGCAGGACGCGATGTTGAAAGTTGAGAGTGTGACTGTGGTGGTGCGCGACGCGATGTAGAATGTTGAGAGTGTGACTGTGGTGGTGCGCGACGCGATGTAGAAAGTTGAGAGTGTTATTGTGGTGGTGCAGGACGCGATGTAGAATGTTGAGAGTGTGACTGTGGTGGTGCGCGACGCGATGTAGAAAGTTGAGAGTGTTATTGTGGTGGTGCAGGACGCGATGTAGAAAGTTGAGATTGTTATTGTGGTTGTGCAGGACGCGATGTTGAAAGTTGAGAGTGTGACTGTGGTGGTGCGCGACGCGATGTAGAATGTTGAGAGTGTGACTGTGGTGGTGCGCGACGCGATGTAGAAAGTTGAGAGTGTTATTGTGGTGGTGCAGGACGCGATGTAGAAAGTTGAGATTGTTATTGTGGTTGTGCAGGACGCGATGTTGAAAGTTGAGAGTGTGACTGTGGTGGTGCGCGACGCGATGTAGAATGTTGAGAGTGTGACTGTGGTGGTGCGCGACGCGCCGGTCCGTGCCTCGACTCCTCGGGCGACTTCGCCCCCGGTCGGTCCATTCCCAGACTCCAGTGTTCGATAGTGAGTGGAGGGAGAAGGTTGACGGAGCTCTAAGGTAGGTGCTCTCCAGAACATATGGTGCCCTATCCTGCGTCCAGTTCCCTCCGCCCTTCCGGATCCAACAACTGATTTGCTCTTTTGGATATCCACAAACTTCTAATGTGTCATTAACAATACAGAGTTTCTTACTTATGCAATGTTTAAAATAAATTGCTTGTTTTTTTAATGCAAGGGTATGCTTGGTAAAAAAAAAACATATTAATAGCTAATCAGTTAATAGTTACAAGGATTTGTTTAACATCTATTAATATATCAGTTATGGGCTATGAATAATTTATATAAAATTGTTGCTAGTTATACTAAAGATAATGACTAGGCCTACAAGAATTAATGGCAGGGTTGCTAGAAATACAAAATTTGATTATAACACATACTATTTTCAATATGACATGTTGTTATCAAAATGATAACTTTTTTTGGTAAATTTGGTTGAAAAGAAATAACTTTTTAACATACTACATCATTGTTGTTAGCAAACAATAATAATCAAATCTTAAAATTAAATATTTTTAATTAGGAATGGAAAACTGTTTCAAATATACTACCCTAAATATTTTTAGGCATTAAGTCTGAAATTGAAAATTCGTCTGCCTAATGTTATGAATTTTGTTGTATTTTTCTGTTGTGTTTACTGTTTATAATAAACTAACTTGTTTTAGTATTGCCAATCGACAAATAGGTAATTTGTATTCCAGAAGCTGCCGATTAGCTAGGATTTAAATGCAAATAATAATAATAAATTTGTTGAAGTAACATGCGGTTACTAAGATCACCGGATAAAGATATGTCTTAGGACGGTATGGATAATCTGAAATTTTTTGAGTATTTGTTTTGGTTTTCAATTTGTCATCATCAAAATTATGAATAAGAATTTTTAGTTTAATATGGCAAGTTAGGACAGAAAGTAATTAGGTCATAATGAGCTCAAGTAAAACGGGCGAGGCAAACCTAGACTGGACGACATAGCTGGAATAGCCACTTTTGGGTCCTGTGTTAAAGTGTAATTGTAGTCATATAAAAACAAAATATTTCGCTTAGTTATTTACCTTTCGTAAAATTATACATGGTTACCTTCCAACAATTGTTTTCATCATGGCTTCCATAACTTCATTGCTACGATGAACAATCAGCTGTTTCGGGAGTGATGATAAGTTGTCGCATTTACTCAGTATTTTGTAGTAAATGTTTATAGTAATATTTTTAGATAGTCGTTACGTATCATACGTCATGTCGTTACGTAGTAGTTGACAACAGTTGACTACAACCGGTAGTAAAAAAATCCCTTTTTATTTTGGAGTATATTTTTAAACAAATACATCTTTAAGTTCCGTGTTTTCTGTACTCTAATGCAACAATAATCTAACGTCAAAATATTTAATAATGACTTACAATCGATAGTAATGATCGATAATTGCTATTGAAATAATCGATTGCGCCCTCGTTTTAATAACTGTTCAAAATGTTTAAGCTCTAACGAATTTGTATTACCAATTAGACTTCATCTAATACTTGATGGCACCAGGATCAAAAATAGCTATTATAATTAACGCGATACATGTTATGCAGCAATATGACAAAACCTATATTATGACTATAGAATCTTAATTATTTTAAAATTTATTTTCTACCCCTTCGAATTATGCCTAAAACCAACCACATACTGTAAACATTATTTTACAGGTTGTACCTTTAACACATAATATTAACTGTTGACTAAAATTGTATATTCAATAGGCTTGAAAAAGTCTTTTTAAGATGCAAGAGTTCAATTCCCGGCACACCCAAAAAATCGTAATGCGTTTGGACCACTTTCCATTAAAAGTGTTTGATGAGCTTTCAAATATATTAGAAAGGAGATTCTCTAACGGGTACACTATTCATGCGATAGTTATATCTCTTAACAACCGTTACACAAATTTTGTAAAAAGTGCTGTAGTACAATGTACATTCTTTAAAATTATGTACTAAAAAAGGAATAATGGAATGAAAATAAAAGGTAAATGATAATCTATTAGCGTAATTAAGACTAAATTTACAAAGCAACAGATATTGATATTGTGTTAGCAACAGTTTACAGATATTGATATTATCAAATCGTAAAATAAATGGATCTTATTAACTATAGTCATAGTTCACCTAAGATTAAAAAGGTTAAGGAAAGGAGATTAATCTAAAAAAAACCGGGATTCTATATTTTTTTAAAGTGGTTATTACAGTAGGCCTATATTTAGCTATTATACATAGATTTGTGTGAATATTGTTACTCGAAACAGTATATCGCTACTGAACCTCAGACACATTCATAAATTATGATACTTTTTTAAGAACATAGCAGATTTACCAATAGCCCTAAAACGGGACATTTTGAATCGTAAAACGTACGATGTGCTTCCATTACCTCAGTTAAGAGGTACTCTAAAAATACGTCTGAGAGTAAAATGTAGAGGTATATTTTCAATTCATTGCAAAATCATGATAACATTTTGAAACAATGATTACTTGTTTAACAGACTACTTCTGTTTGTTTTTCATTCCTACCCTAAGACTAAAAGTATATTTACCGGTCCAGTAAATGTTTGTACACCGTCTATAAGCAAGTAGTGATCATAAGCTCGAAAGATAGAGTTAATTTTTTTCCAAAAACAATCTTAACAAGTGCGAACAATCGTTCGTTACATCTAAGAAGGAACCGAACTCTTTCCAAGTTAATGCAATAAGGGTTGAAAACTAATGAATACATTGTTATAACCTATTTAATATCTTATAAATTTTTGTAGGTTATAATGGGACATTGAATCATCTTTTTAAACATGAAGCTTTTAATTATGTTAAAAAAAGAGCAACATGAGAGAGCAACAAGAGCAACAAGACCCCTTTCGTCAATATGTACAAATTAATCTCTTTCCCTTAAACATATACTGATTTCCTCCAAAACACTACAAATACGAATACTGTACAAATTCATTATACTGTTTACAAATAAAAATAATTGAAAACAATATAATGTTCTTGGGGTTAATTTTTATCAAGGATTTTATTATTTTTATGTTAATCGATTCATCCCATTTAGTGTTTAAAATTGTTTTACAAACACTAGATATGCATCAACAAAAAATTTTTTAGCGTATTTTGCCAGTATTATTAGCTTGCGTGGAAAATTCACATGTAACATTTTAACGTGGTTTTAATTTTACTAATCATTAAAACAACTTCGCCCAGATAAATGGTTTCAATGGCCTGGGAGGAGTTTTTGTTAATTTCTTATACTAACTTGTTTAACTATTGCGGATAAAAAATACCGTGATTAAAGGAACACAGATTCTCTCTACATTAAAATATGTAAAAAACAATATGTAAAAAAATATGTAGGACAACTCACACGTGCAATGTCAACATACGAAATTCATTCCATTATATATACCATAAATATTATATGTCACTTGGAGATTTAACAGCATATTACATTTTACATATCCTTGATCAAAAATTAACATCTAGCTGCCGATACGTTTCTACAGAGGAACCCTTAGGTTTCCTTAGAATAACACACTTACTAGGTGAATAATAAAAATTTAGTTGTCGTTACGTAATGTATTTACAAGGAAACCCGTATGTTTCTTTACAATAACAATAATTTAGTTGTCGTTATGAAATCTATTCAAAAGGAAACCCGTATGTTTCTCTACAATAACAAACATTTAGTTGTTTAACTAACTTGTTTAACTATTGCGGATAAAAAATACCGTGATTAAAGGAACACAGATTCTCTCTACATTAAAATATGTAAAAAACAATATGTAAAAAAATATGTAGGACAACTCACACGTGCAATGTCAACATACGAAATTCATTCCATTATATATACCATAAATATTATATGTCACTTGGAGATTTAACAGCATATTACATTTTACATATCCTTGATCAAAAATTAACATCTAGCTGCCGATACGTTTCTACAGAGGAACCCTTAGGTTTCCTTAGAATAACACACTTACTAGGTGAATAATAAAAATTTAGTTGTCGTTACGTAATGTATTTACAAGGAAACCCGTATGTTTCTTTACAATAACAATAATTTAGTTGTCGTTATGAAATCTATTCAAAAGGAAACCCGTATGTTTCTTTACAATAACAAACATTTAGTTGTCGTTACGTAATGTATTTACAAGGAAACCCGTATGTTTCTTTACAATAACAAACATTTAGTTGTCGTTATGAAATCTATTCAAAAGGAAACTCGTATGTTTCTTTACAATAACAAACATTTAGTTGTCGTTACGTAATGTATTTACAAGGAAACCCGTATGTTTCTTTACAATAACAAACATTTAGTTGTCATTATGAAATCTATTCAAAAGGAAACCCGTATGTTTCTTTACAATAACAAACATTTAGTTGTCGTTACGTAATGTATTTACAAGGAACCCCGTATGTTTCTTTACAATAACAAACATTTAGTTGTCGTTATGAAATCTATTCAAAAGGAAACCCGTATGTTTCTCTACAATAACAAACATTTAGTTGTCGTTATGAAATCTATTCAAAAGGAAACCCGTATGTTTCTTTACAATAACAAACATTTAGTTGTCGTTACGTAATGTATTTACAAGGAAACCCGTATGTTTCTTTACAATAACAAACATTTAGTTGTCGTTATGAAATCTATTCAAAAGGAAACCCGTATGTTTTTTTACAATAACAAACATTTAGTTGTCGTTATGAAATCTATTCAAAAGGAAACCCGTATGTTTCTTTACAATAACAAACATTTAGTTGTCTTTATGAAATCTATTCAAAAGGAAACCCGTATGTTTCTTTACAATAACAAACATTTAGTTGTCGTTATGAAATCTATTCAAAAGGAAACCCGTATGTTTCTTTACAACATATTTAAAAGACCAATAATACTCATTTACATACTATTTAGGATAGTTTTTATTTCACATAACAACTCAACCGTGGGGCTATCAACATGAATGATAATAAATTATAATAATTTAGTTGTCATTGTT